TTCTTAAAGGAGAGAGAAGAGGATATACAGGTGTTGCATACTAAAAGGAGAGAAGATGATGTATAGGTGTCACATTCTTAATGAAAAGAAGATGATGAACAGGTGTCATATGCTTAAAGGGAGGAAAGAGGTATGAACAGGTGTGACATTCTTAATGGAGAGAAGAGGATGTACAGATGTTGCATACTAAAAGGAGAGAAGAGGAAGTACAGGTGTCACACTTTTAATAGAGCGAAGGTAATGTCCAGGTGTCGCATACTTAAAGGAGAGAAGATGATGTACAGGTGTCGCATATTTAAAGATGAGAGGTGGTAAGTATGGAAGAGAAGCAACGTCCAGATCATTTTCTGGCAATTCAAGTGACCGACAAACAGGTTCGTTACTGGCGTGACTAATTTAGATAATTCACAGGGACTTGCTCCCGGGCGTGTAATAATTATTTATTAAAAAAAACATATACCGTAATAATAAAACTTTTATTATTACGGTATATGATTTTTTTAATAAATAATTATTACACGTCGGGAGCAAGTCCATGTGGATAATTAAAAAATGACAATCAATCTGTTCTTGAAAAGTTGCAAATCAGATCAAGGATTCGTATATATAATATTCTTATTTGTGAATAAATGTACGTTTATATCCTGAATATTTACTTGTGTGAGACGAGGTAAATTATTGAAAAAGAATGTGATCAATGAACAAGAATATCAGCAGTCTCGTTTAAATTTACCATTTTGTAAGTCGTATAGTCGATACAATGGCCTTGTCAGCAAAAAATGAGTCGAATGCTGACTGATGTTTTTCATACTAATTTATTGTGAGTCTATTACTTACACTGAATTGACGACGGAATTTTCGTTACTTCCCGATCATGACAAGGAGCACACGGCCTATGTTACCGGTCGGCAGAGGATGCTCATCCCTCCATGGCACCTGATCCCACCTCTGATCTTTTGTAGTCCGTGTTTGCTTTGCTCATATATCTTATATTTTTATGGACTTTTGAGCTTGAAAACGGTTTGTTATCTTAATATAATTTCTTGATAATGAGCCTGCTTAAAACAGCATTTGAAACAAAATTAATATTGACACTTATCCGGAAAATGTAGATCAATTCAAACATCCGAAGTAAGCCTGAAGTGTGCATCTTCAGACGTATCATCGATGCCAGATTGATGAATGTAGGGTTTATAGCTACGTGGACAAGCGAACTCCACCAAAAATTTGAACTCTTCCCATTAATCTGGTCATTCCTTACTGTAATTGAAGCATCGTTCATGTATCGCAAATTAATGTAGAACATATAGTACCTGAAAAGAAAAATGCTCCAAAACATTTTGGATGTCGATGCTGAGAGTATTTCATGCCCCTGTCCTTCGTTGAAACGAGCTTAAAATCTCTGCATATACGTTTGGAATAGAAAACAAATTAAATTCAAATTTCATTCCTCTACTAAATCTTGATATTTTAAATAAATGTTATTTTAAAGAATGACATTAAATAACTAATGTGTTTTTTTTCGTTTCATTCTTCTATTATTAGATAAAACAGAACGTTCGAGAGTTACAGAACGTCATTTTAGAGAAAGAGAAGCACCTGTCGAACGCGATGGTGAAGACGGACAGTTTACATCTTACCCTGGGGGTGTACCACCTAGAGGACGAGGAAAGGGTCGCACAGTAAGACATTTACTCCTGGAATTATTTATATTCCAGAAAATTTTCGCAGGCCAAAGAATATAAATGTCTATAATATCTCTCAATTTGAAACAAAAAATCTTTACAGGGCAGCAGAAGCATTAGACAGATTTCACAGTAAACTGAAGATATCGGATTTTACGCCACCGTGTTTGAATGTTTCTATGGTAGGGCACTTTAGACACCAAGTTTTGTTCGCATCAGTGGCAAGGGATGACGGATTAGATGTTCTCAACAACCTCGTTAGTGAGTAGATTTCAACAACACATTAGTGAGTACAAACAAATTGCAACATTATTATTAGTGAGTACAGAATAAATCTTCTCAACATTATCGATATCATACAAAAGATGAAATATAGGAGATAACGAACAACATTATTCAAGTTCAAAAGTCCGTTATAAACAATAAAAAGTTTGAGCAAAGCAAACATGATCCTCCAAAACATCAGAGATGGGATCGGGTGCCAAGGAGGAGTGAGCATCCCCTGGCGACAGATTACATCCACTGTTTGCCCCTTGTCATGATTGGGAACTAACGGAAGAATCTTAGTGATTCAGTTTGTAAATAATGCTGTAACAATAAGTATGAAAAACACTAGTTAGCATTTGATTCGATGATAAATTGTATTTACTGACAAGTGCATTTTATCAGCTGTACAACTTACAAAATGATGATTTTAAACGAGACTGTTGACATTCTTGTTTCGCCATCTTAAATGTTTGTCAATATTTTACATCATTTTAAAAATTACATACGTAGAGCATGCACTTGCATATGAATTAACTGAGAGATACAAACCCCGCAGGTGATGAAGGTATATACCTGTATAAATGAGGGAAGTTGACCATTGCAAAGTTAAAAGTCTCACGTTTATCATCACGTTTAGCTTAAAACTTGGTTGTGAGGTTAACTTTTTTTTTCAAGTAAAATATTCAAATATGAAACAGATGTGTCGGACTCTGTGGTACCTATTTTCTCAACCTCACCAGGATATATCGTATCGACATAAGAATGGAAATAACCATTGTGAATTGACAATACGTCGTCGATATATCTTAATGTCGAGCAAGTGTTTTTTTCTTTTCACACATAAATCTTTTAACAAATTCAGCTTCATATGAATACAAGATAAGGTCTGCTTATAAGGGGGCGCAATTTTTAGCCATGGGAATCCCAATAGACTGTTGGAGTACTGGTCTCCAAAATCCACATAGATATTGTCAATCAGAAACAACCCAAGCACACTTTTGATGTCAACTTCAGAATCCTTGTGTGTACAAAAAAATGACCAATGACAAGGTAAGTATATTTACGAGTTCGAAAGTCTTTTTAGTTTAAGATCTCAACATCATCGTTAGTGAGTACAAATAAGATCTCAGCCAACTTACGTTGACCATTTACTTTTTCTCCCTGAAACTGGAACTGTTTTGCTCTGATTTCGTCTTGTAGAAGATGTAAAGAAATCTCTGGAGACTGACGGGTTTGTAGCCACGGATGACAGATACACTCCTCACATCACAATCGGAAAGATGTCCACAAAACTTCGAAAACTGGGTAACTATATTAATAATTTATTCTATCTGTGAAAATTGTCAGGAATCCTCTCGTTTAAACAGGTATAATGTATTAAATAGATTTTTTTTACCTACTTTAGAAGTGATTCTTTATTTTACAATGTTTATCGATATTTTGACAAACGATTTAATTTTTGGCTATTTTTGACCAGGTATAAGGAGAATTGAGCCAACGCATTATGAAGAGAAGAAGACTACTTACTTCGGAAAACAGACGGCGGAGAGTATCCAGCTCTGTTCTATGACTAAACCAATGACAGAATCTGGTTACTACCACGTAGAACACGAAATCAGATTTCTGGTCTCTGACAACTCAGAAGATCAATGATATCCATATTGCTCTTTAAAGACTAATCCAGTGGAATTGCATCTAGCAGATTTGTTACTGGATTTTAAGTGTGGAATTGCTTCTAATAGGTGTGTTTGAGGGAAAAAAGCAGAAAAAAATATTTCAAGGAATGTTTAGATCTATGTCGACTAATCAGCGGGTTGTAACAAGGCATTGAAATAGGAATGTTATGTGTGACAATGATACTCTATATAACACATTTTTTTTATTCATGCAAATGATGAACACGATCGAGATTCATCTGATTGTCATAAATTACAATGTCTCTAGTAATTAGTACCTGAGTGAGTAAGACAAAAGTCAATTAAAAATTATTTGTTAAATGAAATATGAAGATAACGAAAGTAGTCATGCTCAAAAGAATGTATGTTTTTCAAGATTCACAGGACATTATATATATATATATATATACACTTCACCCGAGTATACCCGATAGACCGGACGCATTTCATAGCGGTCCGGATTCTTTCTTTAATAGTGTTCTTAAAAATTTCCAAATCAACATGTAACTTAGTATGTAAATATATAGTGTTTAGTAGTTTAGTAGTAGTGCTAGTTGTTTTTTGTTTCGCTTTTTCCTTTGTTCTTATGACTTTTTAACTCTTTTCTTTGTCCTGAGGAAGGGACAGGGCGTCCCGAAAATTTGACAATTTTTATTGTTCGTGTTGTTGGTCATTTTTAGTGCTTTTTATAAATTTCCATCCGTGACCTTGTATCTACTTGATAGATCCGACATTTAGGATATACAGTGTTGTTGGTTTTTTTAGTGCTTTATATATATATATATATATATATATATATATATATATATATATATATATATATATATATATATATATATAATGACTAAAATGTATGTTTAAGCGAATTCTAAATCACTTTTATGTGTGATATTTCAAAACATGGATATCGACATTGATAGATCAAAGCGGAAATGTTCAGCATGTCTAATGAACATATGTTTCAACGAATTCTAGATAACATTCATGTGTAATTAAATAGTATGGGGCTTAGATATTGGCCTGGTACCTCAAAGCTTCTGGGTTTGATTTCCGGTCCGGTCATGATTTTTTACTTGTTTCAGTGATACGTGACGCTAAATATTTTTCATGTTACAAAGAATATAATCTGCTACTTGTTAGGTCGGTTGTTATATGCTTTGATACAAAAAATAATTTAAAGTGCCTGGTATCATATTCAAAATATCTTGATTAGTTTTGATCACTAATGCATTTGACAATAAATCTTGGTTTTTGCTCTTCATTGTGTCTTTAATTGTTTAACGCCATTTGGAGAATGTTTCACACTCATACTGAGTACCCTTTGGAGGGCTGCCAATTTTAGACCTGTACTCGGCAGTCAAATCAATTGATCAGGTAACATGAGGTAGTAAGCATCCCCTGTCGCTAAGCCGCTATGTATATCTGATCAACACCATTTCTAAACACACTGTAGCACAGTACGTCTGAAATATCTCCTTTAATTACAGCAGTTCATATTTTTGTAATGAGTGAATATTTGGGCTTGGTAGAGTATTTACTGAACCTAGCCATGTATGTGCATCTTTTTTGTAATGAATCATATGGAGATAACGAACACTATTCAAGATCAAAAGTCCATAAAAGAATTTAAAAAAAAGAGCAGAGCAAACACGGACCTTCAAATCATTAGAGGCAGGATCAGGTACCATGGAGGGGTGGGCATCCCCTGCTGACCGGTCACGCTCGACGTGTGCTCCTTGTAATGATCAGGAAATAACGGAAAAATCCGTCGTCAATTGGCAAACGTCAGTCAGCATTTGACTCAATGATAAATTGTATTTGCTGACAATGTCATTGTATCGAACATAGAACTCACGAAATGATGACTTTAAATGCGACTGCTGAAATTCTTGTTTCATCAGCTTGTTTATTTATAATTTACCTCGATTTAGAAATTGCTCGTACGCAGAACATACTGTTGCGTATCAAATCAAATGAGATATGTAAACCCCGTATGCAAGTGATGAAAGCATATTGCTGCATAAGTAAGGGAAGTTGACGATAGAAAAGTTAGTCATCACGTTTATCATAGAGCTTGGTTGTTAGATTACCATTAATGTCTTTTTCAAGTAAAATATCCAAGTATGAAACAGATGTGTCAAACTCTGTGGTATCGTTCATCTCAAGCTCAGGATATACATGTATATTTTTATGAAGTTTAGGAACCCAGTACAGAAGGGTAAATAGTATATTAACGTATTAAACACTAAATTTTGATTTTGAAGAATTTCTTTCCAGGAAATGGATTGTGAGTATATGCATGTAGGATTTCCAGACGAAGAAATGAACTAATTAAGTTATTTTATAATGCAATTGTATAATTTTTCATGTAGTTGCTTTAGCTCTTTGATCTTTGCCAGTTTAATTAAAACGGAATTGTAAATGATTGCTTTAAGGTCATAATTTTCAACAATATTAAAATCACCAGTAATGACGAGTCCTTCATAACTGTAGTTGAAAGAAGAACACGTAATATAAAGATTTTGTTTTATATGTTCAATATATAGACACAGATGGGTTTGTTCATTATTAAAAAGTTTGTGGCAGCAATTTGTTATAATATCAAACATCTTTTCTTTTTGTAAAATATTCAAATTTAAAACAGAATGTCAGACTCAGTGATATATTTTCCTCTTTAATGAAATATGTGGAGATAACAAACATTATTCAAGAAATGGATATCGCTTCGAAATAAGTTACATTGGGATAGGCAAAATATAATATGATGCAAATCACAACTGTCTTCTCTGTTTATGTTTCATTGTTTAGAGAATATAATTTATCTTCTTTATACTATTCGTAGATTTAAACTCCATCCTTTTAAAAATGTTTTAAAGGTTGGGTAGCTAATTTATGATTATGAAAGACACGTTTAAGATAATATATTTGCACTGGAGGTGGATACAGTCACAGTTGGTTTATTTGCTTACTAGTATTTTTTTGCACTAAATATAGGATCTCTCGGTGGTTAATCACAACATATACCTAGCTGTCAATTATCAAATCATCACGTATTCAATTAGTTTCTAATAGGTTTGATAGACAAAACAGAAGAGCCGTTTTGAAATCACAAAAAAGTATTACGTTCGATCATCATTGACACCTTTGACATCAGAACAAGGGCGCAACATCGGCGATCAAAATATGCATATATAGTGAATTTCGAACTTTGAATCGCTGAAACACCCATGCGTGTTAATTTTCTAGCAAAAAATTTTACATGGATGATTTTAGTAGCATGTAAACTTTTTTATATATAAAAATGAAACATGATAGGAGATCTTTAAGAAATTATTCATTATTATGTTCCCCAAACGAAGTTTGGGAACATATTGTTTTACTTTTTCTGAATTTTTTCTTTGTTCTCCGGTACTTTTTTGTCCGCGAGTGTTCTCGTAAACTACTCATCCGATCTAGGTGAAACCTTTTTAGGGTCACTAGGTATGTTATGTAGATGTGCGGAACGAAGGTCATTTTGCGCGCACGTGCGTGCATGTGCGCGCACGTGTAACACGTGAAATGACCAATATAACAGATTTAGCCGTAACTTTTTAAATATTGGATGAAATGCTTTGAAACTCATAATATAAGGATATAATAGTAGTATAGACATGATGATATGGTCAAAATAGCAAGATTTCACGCGCATGCAGGTGCCCCTCGCTGCGATTGGCTGAAACTAAAAGTCTAAATATCTATTTTGTTTTCTGACAAAATCCTTTGAAATTTTGAACATAGTCTTACATTATGAAGATCTACAGCATGATATATAAGAATAATCATGAACGCACGCACATGCACGTGTGCTGCAATCTGATTGGCTAAAACTTTAAATGCCCACAACTTTCTTGGTTCTCAATAATACAGGGTGAAATTTCAAATATGAATAGATATAATGATTGCCTACATTATACTACTATCAAAAGTAAATGCATGGACGTGCATGCACATGCGACCGCACACAATGTATTAAAAGACAGTATACTTGAGTGTTTGATGTTCATGCAGAATTAAGAACTTCTAAATGTCAAGACATGTAACATACTGAAGCATGCAGATCTTTTTACCCTTGACCTTGAAACTTAGGTCAAGGTCACTGGTAACCTGAATAAAATGTTGATACTAGCTATTTACCAAAATCACCTTGACCTATGAACTTGAAATCGACCTTAACTTTTGTCCTTGACCCAAGGGTAAAAAGAAACATGAAGTACATGTACATGTATTTAGAAACACCTTTCAGAGTTTATTTCGGTTGACAGGTTAGAAGTTAAAGAGGTGGTGGTTTTTAATGACCTTGACCTTTCATCCAAATGTCACAATCAATCCTAAGTTCTTGGAATAAGATACAAGATTCAACTCCAACGTTAAATAGGTTAAGGATAGAAATACCCCCCCCCACCCCCCACCCCCCCAACACACACAAACAAATCAAATTAATGGCAACGTAGAGAATCACTGTTCAACTCAAAAAAAAACAACCTCGGACCCACATAAAATTTCAGGAAACTGCAGAAAAGAGCTCGAGGAAAGTGTATTAAAATATTTCATTTGAGTTTCCAAAGTATATAGAAATTATTAATTTATACAGAAAAAATTACAAATCCTGTCGTGTTTAAAATTAAAGTGCAGATGACCAAAGTTGGCATATACTAGTAAGCCTTTTATAGCCTATTTATTCAGATGTCGTTAATAGCATTCAATTCTACTGATTTGAAATAATATTTTAATACAAAGCATCCTTTGTTTAATTTAACTTTGAAATTTATTTGAATTTTTTTTTAGAATTACGCAATCCCCAGAAATAGCGATTTTCGGTATATTAAAAATCAATATACGTGTACGCTCCTTCGTAAAATAATCAGATATTTGCATTCATGAAAAAAATATTAATAAGAAGGTGTTAAACAATATAGGTCACATTAGCTGACACGAATGTCTTTTTAAACATCTCTTGTAAAACCTAGAGAGTAGCCCCCTATGCATTGAAAAAAATGAATAGTTCCGGTCAAAAAACCTTTATATATTTATTTACAAAGTATATAAAATTTACCAGGCACAGGTATCAGAGTTGTCAAAATGGCCTGAGAGGAAATATTAAAAAAATTCTGAACAGAAAGGAAAATCCCTTTTCCATGTATGGAACTACTATTGAATAAGTTCATTTTGATTGGTTAGGTATTGGCGTGATACCCTTAGTCGACTTAAACCCTGCCTTGTCGTCGGAATAAAACCAACTTTGAGCCCGAGGTTAAAATAAGTAGAGAAATAAAATATGAATCGATATATCAAAAATATGACATATGCTTGAAAAATGGTAAATTTATATATGTATTTTTTTTCTTTGATTCGCGGGATAGAAAGATATGTAAATCGCTTAATCAACATGCCATAATCATCTTGCATATGCATGTACATGTACGTGTGCGCGCATGCAAAAAGTTAAACAATACATCGTTGATAGTTGATATCATTGTAACTTTTATATTTTTAAATGAAATCCTGGGATACTTAGCATATTTATAAAAGGTCTTAGAGGAATAAGGCACGATAAGGGACATGGGGAGCGTTTGGGGAACATCTGTAACGGTCCCCGTTACAATCAGCACTAGTTGGTATTATTTTGAATGAATATCCTAATTTTGTCATTTGTGAAAGTAACTGGATTATGAACTTTACAATTAATTACTTTGATCACTTTTACAATTTTGTTTTTGATTCACAAAAAATTCTATTGCATAAGTGTATCTTATCACAGTAAATTTTGTCCCTTTTCAATACTGTGATATTTTAAATACATGAAAGCTAAAACAGCACATTTATTGGGTATAATGTATTTTATGTCTTATCGATCACCAAGATACATTTGACAATATACTTCCTCATGTTTTCAGAAAATGAGATTTACAGGTAAAAGACATATTAGCGTAGACTCTACTATATATACATTTCAAAAGAAAAGATTAATGCCTATGAATTTTAACTTTAAAACAGTTTTTGGAAATGGTTTTTAAAATGCTAAATGATGTAAGATTTTAAAATACACCCCTGAATAAATACTGCAATTTTATTGAATAGATGAACAACAAACAAAAAAGTGGTTCTAAATATTGGATATTGAAAGCTTGTCGATCACTTCCTGAATCCACAAACTCAAATTCGTTTTTGTTTTATTTTTTGTTTAACTTAAAAAATGGTATTTCATTTGTAATATATTCAATTATATAATTTTGACAAAACTGGGAAGTCGGTTCCTATTTTGACGAATAGTCAGTTAAGTCTACTTTTTGAAGGGGTTTGCATAATCATTGGAAATTAAAAAATAAAACAGGAAGAGGGCAAATATTAAGTTACTGCATTCACTTGCAAGCAATTAGTATCTTGAAGTAACCATCGAAGTAGCTCTCTCTCTCTCTCTCTCTCTCTCTCTCTTAAAGCAAAGGATAGTTTCTAAAAAAAAAACAATTAAGAGAATATTCAAAATTCAAAATACCAAATACCAACTCTCATTTCCAAGAAAAAAACTATCTTTTTTCCCTTCTTAATGAAATGTATTGATTGTTATCAACATATGTTATCAACATATGTACTCCACATTATATTGGGATTATGTATTATAAGTAAAACATTTGTTAATGCTTCCTCTTTGGAAATAATGTTGCACTAAAATATAATTTATTTGTAAGAATTTGTATTGTTTTTTAAATAGCGATGACTGATTGTTATTTTCACCTTCTTCATTATATAACGGTTACTAACAAGTCCTACATGAAATATATGGATATAACAAACAGTATTCAAGATCAAAAGTCCATAAAACAATACATAATTGGAGCAGACAAAACGCGTACCTCCAAACATCAGAGATAGGATCATGTGCCATGAAGGAGTGAACATCCCCTTTCGACGGTGTGGTTCTTTTCATGATCGGGAAATAAGTTCAAATGACGGAAAAACCTGTCGACAATCCTGTGCGTATATAATGGCCTAGAAATGTGTATGAAAAACGGCAGTCAGCCTTTGATTTAATGATAAATTGTGATAAATTGCATTTGCCAAGGTCCCTGTATCAACCCTAGAACTAACGAAATGATGACTGCTGATATTCTTGTTTCAGGGACTTGCAATTGTTTGTCAATAATTTACCTCGTATTAGAAATTGTTTATACGTTAAGCGTGCTCTCACATATCGAACTAATTGAGAAATATAAACCCCGTATGCAGATTTTGAAAGTATATTTCTGCATAAGTTAAAGAAGGTGACATTGAAAATTCAGTCGTCAGGTATATCATGAAGCTCTCTCTCTCTCTCTCTCTCATAAGAAAAACCATTTATCATCACATAAAAATGATTTAAATAAACATGTATGATTTCCATCGTGCAAACCACTCATAATGGCCTGTTACTTGATCATTATAATCACGATTCTTAGTATATAAATCCTTAGGTACCTATGATACTATCTAGTAAGTATACAGTTTTATGTCTGACCGTTATCTTTAGTTCGAATGAGAGTTTCTTTCCTTCTGTTCACAAAATCTTGTTGGAAAGGAAACTATTTGGGTAATTTGAAGATTACATTCCAGCGAAGATCAGTAATCAAGCTTAAAACTATAGCATATGGCAATGATATGGTGTACATATTGATCGAATTTTCTTTGTAGTCATTTAATCATTTAGCGTTCATCATGTTCTTACAAAATATATATTACAATATAATCATGATTTAGATTTTTTTCCACAAACAGGCAAAAGTTGACTAAATTTTAGTTAAGTAAAATTCAAAAGTATTAATATTCCGTAATTCATCAAATGCAAATGACCTTTTCAAGAGATATTTAAATATTAGCTACAGGGACTCAAGTATTTATTTGAATTAGGACAAGGCTTTTTCATACGTTTCAAGTCCACAATACAGTCTCTGTCTTCCTTTGGTCAATGAAGTGTCAGGTTTTGTCAAACTTACATCACCTATGAGTCAGACTGCAGATAGTGATAGACCATTTTTGACAGTAAGAGATTTCATTTTCTCCTTCCTGGAATCCACACAAACTATTTTTGTTTTCGTTTTTCAAAACAGTGAAAGTTGTAAAAAGAATTTCATTGGCCAGTTCTCGATTACGTAATCTTGTTTCAAGCAAAACTTAGAATCGAGCTCTCCTCATGCATTAAATCAAGCCTATTTCAAAAGAATCACATCAGTTTAGTATATTTCAGAAGTTTTTCTTTTTGGATAAGAGGTAGTAAATATGGAAAGGAGGCAACGTCCAAATTATTTTCTGGCAATTCAAGTATCCGACGAAAAGGTTTGTTACCTGCGTAAATAATTTGAATATTTTTTTTAAAAATCTGCTCTGATATAAAAAGTATAAATCAGAAAATGGACCATATTCTTATTTTTTTTTTAAAAGTACGTTTATTTCCTGAATATTTATCTCTGTAGGAAGATGACATTACATTGTCTGACTTGATTGAGTTGATGAGTTTGATTAATTATTGATTAATTAAAGCCCATAAAACAATACAAAATAGGAGAAGAGCAAAAACAGAGCTCCAAAACATCAGAGGTGGGTTCAGGTGCCATGGAGGAGTAACCATCCCCTGCTGACCGGTCACACCCGCCGTGTGCTCCTTGTCATGATCGGTAATTAACGGAAAAATTAATACAAATCTGTGAAGAGGACATGAACAAGAATCCCTGGATATTCTCGAGGTGAGATCAGGTACCTTCGAGGGATAAGCATTCCCTGTCGTCCACTCAAACTAGCGATGAGTTGATGAAACAAGGATAATAACAATCTCGTTTGAATTCCACAAATTACATGTTTAATTTAATGACCTTTAAAAGAAAAACAATTTATCATTTACTTAAATGCTGACTAAAGTTTTCCATACAAATTATTAGGCCATTATTTTAACACATATTTGCCTTTAGATTTTTCTTTGTACCCAATGAAGACAAGGGGCACAAGGCGCGTGTAACCGGTCGAAAGGGATTCCAAATGCTTATCCCTCCATGACTTAGAGCATGATTGCTTCCGTTTTTTTAAACTATCATTGTTCCAAAATGAACTCTGATCCAAAAATGGAAAGTTGATTTTATTTAAAGAATATCATGGTTTCGTTGGGAACTGTGAAGAAACCGAACAATAAATCTCAAACTCAATCTCAAAATATTCATAAATAATACAGATCTGTGGAGGGGGCTACGAATTACCCCTGAAAATTCAAAAGATGAGATCAAGTGTCTTAAAGGAGTAAGCATCCTCTGCTGACCGGGCTTACCTTCTATAAGACCTAATGCACTTATCAAGTTGATGGAACTTTCTGTGGTGAAATTCAGCATAAAAAAGGCCTAAGAATGTGTACAAAAAGTCAACCAAAATACGACTAAGTGATTAGTTATATTGCTAACATGGTCATTAAAACGACAAATAAAATTTACGAAATGTGGACTTCGAAGGAGGTGGTTGTTATTAGTTGTTAGCAAGTAATCTGAAGTTGACATCAAAAGGATGCTTGAGTTTCTGATTGACAATATCTATGTGGTTTGGAATTTCGATTCTTAGTCGATACGATTTATCCTAGTGAGCTTGAGAAAAAAAAGATACCAGAAATTCTAACACATCTGTTTCGTATTAGGATATTTTACTTGAAAAAGACACTAATTGTAATCTAACAACCAAGCTATATGATAAACGTGATGACTTTACTTTTCAATTGTCAACTTCCTTTACTTATCCAGCAATATACCTTCGTCGCCCGCATACGCAGTTGATATCTCACAGTTGATTCGCTACGCAAGAGCATGCTCTAAGAATGTACAATTTTTAAAAGGAGGTAAATTATTGACAAACAAGTTGATGAAACAAGAATGTCATCAGTCTCCTTTAAAAACATCATTGCGTAAGTTCTATGATCGATACAATTACCGTGTCAGCAAATGCAATTTATTTTTGAGTCAAATAATAACTTTTCATACTAATTGTTAGGTCATTATTTACACACTGAAATGACGACAGAACATCCCGTTATTTCCCGATCATGACAAGGAGCACACGGCAAGTGTGACCTATCGGCAGGGGATACTCACTCCTCCATGGCACCTGATCCCACCTCTGATGTTTTGGAGGTCCGTGTTTGCTCCACTCCTATTTTGTACTGTTTTATAGACTTTGAGCTTGAATACTGTTCTTTATCTCAGTATTGTTCCTGTTAGTAGCTAGTTCGTTTTAGTAAAAAAATTATACTCAAGACATGTTTTAAGTATCGAAATAAAAGTGGAAATGTAAACGCCATGTGCAGGTGATAGCGGGTTATTTCCTTAATAATTTAGGAATGTTGTCGATGGAATTTAAATGTATTGTTAGTTGCTCTTATTTTGTCGTGTTAATCAAGATATAATCGATGTGGCAGACATTATTTAAAGGTAGATAAAATATATATGGAATTGTTTTATGAATAAAAGTTACTGTTGTTAATTGATAATGCATCTTTGTCAAGTTGAAAGCCACAGCACAATTATTGCCCATCAGAATTTAAACAGTTTGTTGGAGGATATATACCTGTATTTTGAATAGAATCATTTTAATGTAATTCCCAGATACAAGTCTTCAAAAGATATACGTTAAAGATTCTTTTGCCCAAACTTTAACTATACACGAGGACACAGCGTCCACTGGTACATGTAGATATGATATTGATTGTCTTTCTTTGTCTAGCCTAGCAGGGAAAATTGTTTTAAATATTATTTAGATCATACTTTCGCAATGTTTATTTGTGCAATACTTCTTCCTAAAATTTAGAAATATTAGCCAGTTCTTTTTAATGTTTCTTTATCCTGAGTCTTGATATGACAAACAATATTTTAAAGTTGACTTCCTTAATGAATATATGTAACGGACCTGAGCTGCTTGGATCTCACGCACAAGTACTTTAGATGCCTACACGGGAATAACCCATGTAGTACTCTGATGATTAACGAGAATAACCCGCAAATAAAGATCTCCTATAATATCACAAGAATAACCTGTGTTTGGACTCGTATATAACTACGGGGAAGTTAAATGATAAGCCTTATTTAAAGTTTACAAATTTATTCAATAAATAAAAGTCACAATATGTATTAATTAATATTCAATTACAATAAAATTCAATGGAAGTCGGGAATCACCCAAATTCACAATGAATTACTACACTAACACAACCTTCGTATTACGTTAATACGATAAAAAGGGGGGGGGGGGGGGCGCACTAAACGAGAATGACCCGAATAGTGAGTAATAAATACTATAGAAATACCTTAGAATAACCAAAGTATTTCTGAAAGAATCTACACAATCTATAAAAGCTATTTAAAGCAAGAAATTTATCTCTATAATTTCTATATCAAATCCTAGCCTTAATTCCTGCTTGAATATTCCAATAAACGCAACTAGATTATCACTTTAAATTGATTGAATTCCTAAAATCTATCAAAGATAAACAATTATTTACACGGAAAGACCTCAAGACTTACTTTCAGTCAAACCGTAACAAAATTATTTAATCGTTTAATATCGAGATTAACCCAATATAAACGTCCTACGATAAATACTAGTAATTAATAGTGAAACGAGATTAACCCGTATTCACTATAAGAAAAATTGATGAATTAATTCAAAAATTACTAAATTCCTAATGAAAAATGCTAAGAATCAAATAAACAACCGCTAACCTCAAAATCTAAATGCCGAGTCCCACCGGCAATTCTTTACTCTCGTTTTATAGCTCTGGAGAGTCCCCCCGGAGACCCACGCGCTTCCCTAGGGACGACCGGCAGTCACCGGCAGCCACCGGCAATAATCATTGTCAAATAATGTTTAATAATAACAATAGATAATCCACATAAAAATATGACAATCATAATGTAAAACATTTATACAATATGACAATATTCCCTAAGTGTTAGATTTCGATAAAAATGCTTAGTACAGAGAAATTACAATTAGAATCGGGCGTGATATTCCACAAAATAATTAACATGATGGCGGTATCTATAAATAAAGTTACAGAGTTAGAAACGATATTTACAACAAATCTAGCGTATTACAATACTGATATTAATCCAGGATAATAAAATTAGAATCATAAGATCATGTTCTTCTAGAAACGTAAGTACAGTGAATCAAAATAAGAAATTTAACCATTTATGCGATCTACACATGGGGAAAAGTACAATGTACAAACATATTAACACGAATCCTATATAAAACAATCGGCATCATTGTCACAATCGTGACATTTTCCCCCTCTTAAAAACTTTGGTGTCCTCACCAAATTCTTAAGATATAAAACAACAATATTTTTCTATATACATTCAATACATTTCTCCATCAATAATAAATTAACATTAAAAAATGTACACTAGACAAAGTCATATACTTTCCTCAGTTTCCCAATCCTAACATACTTCAATTGTTAGAAATTTTTCTTTTAATATACAACAACAAAAGCAAAATTACAAAATGCATAAGTATACCTAAACTCTGACCATACTTACACCACATTCTAACTAATTTTCTTCACTGTAGCTTTCAAAGTACGTTGGTCTGCTAGCCATTGTCAAAAGTCCTGTACACGAATCTTCCAGCACCATCTTGAATTCGACTCGCCTTTGTGAAAGGTATATTACAGCCATTCATAGAAATGAAACTGTCATTCAAATTGATAACTGCAGGCCCAAATTGACTGTCCAACAAGATGTCCATACCTAAGAGGCATTCATCTTCTGTTCCCGCAACAGTTATCTCCCTTTGAAATTCTAGATTTCCTAACTGAACTGCAAATTCAGCCTTCCCTAACACTTTAAATGGATCTCCATTGACCGCTACAAGGCTTGAAGATTCCTTTAGCTCTGGTCTTCTGTTCCCGGGGAGTCTCCAAAATATTTTGTCGGATAATATAGTTCTTGCAGCCCCTGTGTCTGCTGTGAACTCCACTTTTATCCCTTGAATCGTTCCCTGAACGTAAATTCCATCCGCCTTGAGGAGCTGTCTCCTAATGTACTCCCTCTGAGTACACAGTTCCTCTTCCCTTGAAACGTCCCTGACGCAAGGCTGGAATTTCCCCTGGTTTTCAATTTTCTCCCCCGACTCATCTAAATTTCCACTTAAAATAGGTTCACTTAAAATTTTGCAGTCATTTTGGCCTTTGTTACTTCGGGTCTTCTCTTGGCCACTGGAGCTGACCCCTTCTAGTTTAAAAACTTATCCTTTTTGTCTCTACAATCCTCATCTGATTGTACATTCCATCCTGATTGATGACATGGTTGAAATTTCGGTGCTTCAGGTGACATGGTACTTGTAGTTTGGCTTTGGTTTGTCTTTGGCTGTTCATCTTTACTTGGTAAAGGTGACATAGTTTCCTCTTGATGTTTCTTGTACTGTGATCTCTGTGTCCTGTGAAAATTCCTATGCGGACACTCTCTAGCAAAATGTCCGGGCATGTTGCAGTTGAAGCAGTTTCCCTTTGTCATCTCCATGGAGTTAGTATTTCCTTTCCCAGGAAAGCGATTGTCTCCCTTCCCGTATGGCTTTGCCTGTCTTATAGGGCGACTGTCCTCATTTGCGGTTGAATAGGAGATGACTGACACATAGGCAGCTACCTGCTGTACTGCCTCTTCGATTGTTGACGGTTCTTTGTGCAATTCAACATACTGTCTTGCCTTAGGATCCCATAATCCTTGCAGGAACTTGGAAATTAAGTCTTCCTGTCTCGTGCCGGCATCTCTACTCGGATGAGCCCAGTCATAAAGTCGCTTAATGTCCGCAGCGTACTCTTCGAGACTTTCACCTTTTCCCTGCCGTTTATTGTTGAACTGGGTTTTATAGACTCTCTTATTCTCTAGAGTTCCGAATCTGGATTCTATTTCTGCAACCAATGTCTCATAGTTCCCAATAGCCTCCTTCTTCAGCTGACCAAAAACAAAATCAGCTGCAATTCCCTGTATTCTTGGTAATATCTGTTGTAACTTCTCTTTATCAGTCCACTTGGCTAACTCGGCTACGGACTCAAACCGATTCAGCCAAACTCTCCATTTCTCTGAACCTGTGTAAGGCGGAAGCTTACAGTCAAGCTTGTGGCTATCTGATTTCTTCGACTCGAACAAATCCTTTGTGGCAATTGAGTTGACAGATTGCTCATTTTCAGACTGTTCTGAATCTTCATTTGATTCCTCGTGATTGCTTTCCTTATTCTCTGTCTCCGACTTGTTGTTGTTTGAGTCGATTCTCGATATTCTAGGCTTCAGCTTGCTGTTTGTAGTATGTCCTTTGTTCACTAGCCTGAGAGTTTCGGTAGTTACTTCCATCATATTCTGCATGGCTTTCATTGTCTGGGACATCTGCTCCATCATTAGCGTCATAGAATCTGTGACAGAATTATTCCGTGTTGACTGTGTCAGAGGTTCTGACAGTTCTGTGTCTGTAGGGATTATCTCCCTTCTTTGATGTAGAGTCCTTGTGGATCGTCTTATTTTGCGTGTAGGCGTTGATATTCTAGCCTGAGTATCTGAGTCATTTTCTTCTTGTGTAGAGTTGTCATTGCTGGACTTGCTCTGTTCCCCTCGGAGTGATCTGTTTAACTCGGACGGCGATAAATCTATGAGGAGTTCCTCATCTGTGGGTTGTCCTCTGGAATGTCTGGGATTAATGGATGGCTCCATCCTAGTCTTGGATCTGGTATAGTACCTATGCATGGATTTTTCTCAACACTGGTTCTGGGTTACGTATCTCTGGATCCACCTATGTACTTGGTAGATCCCACCGCTGCCACCAAATGTAACGGACCTGAGCTGCTTGGATCTCACGCACAAGTACTTTAGATGCCTACACGGGAATAACCCATGTAGTACTCTGATGATTAACGAGAATAACCCGCAAATAAAGATCTCCTATAATATCACAAGAATAACCTGTGTTTGGACTCGTATATAACTACGGGGAAGTTAAATGATAAGCCTTATTTAAAGTTTACAAATTTATTCAATAAATAAAAGTCACAATATGTATTAATTAATATTCAATTACAATAAAATTCAATGGAAGTCGGGAATCACCCAAATTCACAATGAAATACTACACTAACACAACCTTCGTATTACGTTAATACGATAAAAAGGGGGGGGGGGGGGGCGCACTAAACGAGAATGACCCGAATAGTGAGTAATAAATACTATAGAAATACCTTAGAATAACCAAAGTATTTCTCAATAAATCTACACAATCTATAAAAGCTATTTAAAGCAAGAAATTTATCTCTATAATTTCTATATCAAATCCTAGCCTTAATTCCTGCTTGAATATTCCAATAAACGCAACTAGATTATCACTTTAAATTGATTGAATTCCTAAAATCTATCAAAGATAAACAATTATTTACACGGAAAGACCTCAAGACTTACTTTCAGTCAAACCGTAACAAAATTATTTAATCGTTTAATATCGAGATTAACCCAATATAAACGTCCTACGATAAATACTAGTAATTAATAGTGAAACGAGATTAACCCGTATTCACTATAAGAAAAATTGATGAATTAATTCAAAAATTACTAAATTCCTAATGAAAAATGCTAAGAATCAAATAAACAACCGCTAACCTCAAAATCTAAATGCCGAGTCCCACCGGCAATTCTTTACTCTCGTTTTATAGCTCTGGAGAGTCCCCCCGGAGACCCACGCGCTTCCCTAGGGACGACCGGCAGTCACCGGCAGCCACCGGCAATAATCATTGTCAAATAATGTTTAATAATAACAATAGATAATCCACATAAAAATATGACAATCATAATGTAAAACATTTATACAATATGACAATATTCCCTAAGTGTTAGATTTCGATAAAAATGCTTAGTACAGAGAAATTACAATTAGAATCGGGCGTGATATTCCACAAAATAATTAACATGATGGCGGTATCTATAAATAAAGTTACAGAGTTAGAAACGATATTTACAACAAATCTAGCGTATTACAATACTGATATTAATCCAGGATAATAAAATTAGAATCATAAGATCATGTTCTTCTAGAAACGTAAGTACAGTGAATCAAAATAAGAAATTTAACCATTTATGCGATCTACACATGGGGAAAAGTACAATGTACAAACATATTAACACGAATCCTATATAAAACAATCGGCATCATTGTCACAATCGTGACATTTACAATGTTTACTGCGTTTAAATTAAATTCTATAATTGTGTATTTTAGATACTAGATAAAATTTGTAGTAGTAATCGGGACAAGAAATACTGGTATTTATAATCACCATTGACCTAAATCGACTTAATTCTATCTAATTACCAATGATAATTCCCACCATCGGTATTTCCCGGTCAACCATGGATACCACTAAGGGAAAATATTTTGCTTTAAATTCAGTATCTTGAGCTTGCAAATCCAGAATTCAGTATAAAACATAAATTAACAGAACATGAAGCATTTCATTCTGAAAATTTGATGGTGTCACTTACTATTTTGAGACTAGAGTACTTCAGTGTTTTATAAATATGTCGAATATGAGCAATAATATTTTGATCTTCCTCCGAAGATAAAAGAGAATGTTCAAGAAGTACAAAGCTTCATGAAGAAAAAGAATATGAACTTGTCCTACACGATGAACAATTTAGATACTCTTCACATAACACTTGGGTTATATCGACCGGAGAATGACGAGATCTCAGAGTAAGAAAAATAACTGATTTTAATCTCTCTCTCTGTGTGTGTGTGTGTGTGTGTGTGTGTGTGTGTCTGTCTGTGAGTCAGGGTGTGTGATGGTGTATTTGCATGTGTAAATTAAACTTTCCTCATTATATAGAGCAAAAAAAGCTTTGGAAGAATTTCAGGGCAGCTTGAATACTTTTTCGCCACTTACTTTCACCGTTTCAACAATAAAAAGTTTCCAGAACCAAGAGGATCCAGATGACCACAAAGTTGTTTATGCTGCAGTGACAGACAATCAAATATTGAAAGACCTCGTAGGTAAGAATTTAAAGCTGTAATACATGTCAGTATATATAGTTGTTTGTAGTTTGTATATCACATAAAATTGTTAGCGTTCATAACTTTTTAGGAGCTTTAAGAAAATCTTTCCAGAAGCGAGATTTATTCGTCACAGACAAAGGATTTGTATCTCACGTAACTATCTGCAGGATCACGGCCAGAAGTAGGGAAAGAGGTAAATTTTAACTCTTCATTTTGTTCCGTCAGCAATGTTGACATATACATCTAAAAAAAAAAGTCAGGAATATTTATATATACTGGTACATTAAAAAAAGTGATACTTTTTTTAATGATTGTAAATGTTGAAGTGATGAGGGGGAAAAAGTTAAAGATCAATAAAATTGTTATTCCAGGGATAACTCGAATTGATCCATCATACTATCGAGAGAAGGCGTCGACTGATTTTGGAAAACAACATGCCAAAAGTATCCAGCTTTGTTCAATGGGAAAACAAAAGTCTGGATACTATCATGTAGAAAAGGAAATATATTTCTAGATGGTTGGACACACAGACGCTTATCCATTTCTAATGTGAATTTTGTATTTACTATCATCTGGTAGATCAAAAATTTACATGAAAGATTTACAAATTGTGTGATTTATAACGTAACTTCTAGTAAGCAGAACAATAGATATGTCATATAGTTTCTCATCATTCTGCAAAAAATAACATGTATACTTATAATTTGACTCTATTTTATTTGTGAAGGATCTTATTAATTTTTCTTTTTACAACGAAAAAAATAAGGAAGGGTTTTATAATTCCCTTGAGTCTTTAAAACATCTGTTTTAAAGTGAAAGTTTTGTTAAAGGAGTATGAGATACCCTTACAACAGAAAACAGCTTTATATCTGCATAATGTAAAACCTGGATTGTCTTATGACAAAATTAAGTTAATGATGTGCATTTAGCTTTTAGATGTGCTTTTATTATTGTGTGATGTGCTTTCTTCATAATGTGATGTGCTTTTATCATCATATATTTCCATTTCTTACTTTTGTTTCTGTAATAAATCTTTGAAACTTAGCGGAGTTCATTTCTTGATATATCTGCCAGAATACATTAAGCAGGTCGAAAGGTCAGGAGCTAGGGAGGCCTAATATGCATGCAAATCTCGTGCGCATCTGTCTCTGTGTCTGACGCTAAGGATGCCAAATATGCATGAAAATCTCGTGCGGCTGCCTTTGTGTTTGACGTCAGTGGGAGAGGGCTATGGAAATTGGCAAGGGAGTCCTCGTGTTATTTAAATCTATGTCTACATTTTTAAAAATATAAATCAACAAATTTATTTCCAGTTGAAACGGAAATATAAGGAATCACTGTCTAGTTCGTATAGTACGCCTGGGCATCAACGATAGTGGGAAACATGGGATAATTTGCATAACGGGCGAAGCTAGACAGTGATTCCTTAACTGTAATTGTTTTATCTTTATGTTATGCACTTTTTTAATTATGAATTATGATTTGTGATTTGGTTATTATATGGTGGTTGATTTTCAAAATGTACATTGCTGATGTCTTTCTTTATATAACAATGATAATGAAATTGAGATTCAATTTCCAATGACATGGTTCACATGATCCCATTTTCTTGGATATGGAAAGCAAACTACACGAGTCATTTGAGATTGTGACGTCACACAATGTCATGGATACGTTATATTGCATTTCCATAACAAAGTCTAAATGACTTTGCCTTTTCATTAGTGCCTTATGATATTTTCTTGTCACACTTCTTTCACCAGTGATCTTACTGGACAGAGCTTCTATACCAAAACTTGGGAAAATCTGAACTGCAAATATTCTAATGTTGTCTATGGAATAGAATGTAATCTGTATGGACTTGTTTATGTCGGTGAATCCAAGGGATTGCTTAACAAAAGAATATCAGGTCATCGATTTCAAATAAATCATGGTAATCAGCAGCTTTTATACAAACATTTTAATTCACCTGATCATTCTATTTTATACATGAAAGTTAGAATTCTCGAAAAGATTTATCTCCACACAAATAGTTCGTCGCTGAGTACACCTTTCCGTAGACAACGAGAAGAATTTTGGACTAGAAAACAAGGGACAGCCTTTCCCTATGGATGTAATGACAATGTCGATAGTGTTGGAAATCTTTCCAGTCCGCAGTGTAATAATGTAAATGTGATGGAACTTTTTAACCATACTCATAGACGTAAGCGTAGTAATGGGCATCGTTCGTTCAATAAACCTGCAATACACGACGTCTCTTTTGATTCATTACTACCTTATGTAAATCAACAGTTAGGTCTACATCATATTCGAACAAAACTTTACTCTGTTCCTTTGAAACTTTTAAATAGTCTTCTTGAAAAGGCCAAGGAACATCCAATTTAAGATTCTTCGTCACCTGAATATAGACTCGGATCTGTGATTATGGATATTGCATATCATAGGCTCTTTAAACCCCTACGCTTCACGGAAGAAAATGCAGCTAAAACAATCCGTCTTTTCCTTAAACTTCAATATGCCAATAAAGGAATTGACGCGGTTAATATAAGTAATATTCTTAATCACAAAAGGGTCCAGTCTTGGTTTCCACCATATTTCAAGTTAAAGAGTACACCTTGTATTTCCTACAAATATACATCGACCATTGCTTCCAAACTTTTCAATTACAAAAACACCTTACATGGCCTGGATACCGACTATCTGAAACATAATCCTCCTTCGTGTTCATGTTCTTCTTCGCCCTATAACTATAGTCCTGCTGGACACGTTATTACAGGTGACGTAAATATAGTTCGTAATGAGTACCTTAGATCACTTATTTTAAAAGGTACTAAATATAGGGAACCCCGATCCTTCAACTGGCGTCGGAATTTCTTAAATATTATGGATTCTGTGGAAAATTACGCCAGACGATGGGCAAGATATGAAAAAAAGAACATTGACACCTTGTCAGAATGGATTAAATGTATCAAATCCATGTTTAAGTCCCGTATTAAAAGATTGAGGGGCAATATGAAAACCATATATCCTTTTGTGTTCAATAAACCAGAAGTGAAAAAGGAGTTAGATAGATTACACGATCAGTACGTAATGGTTCCTGCCGACAAAGCAGGTAACAACATTGTCTTTGTTTGTAAGGCTCATTATATAAATTGCATTCTAGAAGAACTTGGATTTAATTCTACAAGTGGTAATCCTACTTATACTCATACTTTCCTCTCTAAGGAAAAAAATTTTCAAAATCACCTGTCAGTTTTGAATAGTTTTAATATTCCACTGAGCCAAAATGAATTTGAACTACCTTATATATATATATTGAATTCCAAAACTTCATAAGAATCCTTACAAACAAAGATACACTGCAGGTTCCAGTAAATGTTCAACCAAGCCTCTTTCGTTACATCTCACTAAGATATTGACAGTAGTGAAGTAAAAACTCCAGGAGAACTGTGCAACAATATATTCAAGAAGTGGTGTGAATCAGATGTGGATACTAAGAAATTCTAAAAAAAAACCTTGGACACTTTTGAAATCACAAGACTTTACAAAAATCAACAGCTTAAAAACTTACGACTTTTCAACTTTAAACACAACAATTCCCCACGACAAATTAAAATCCAGGTTTTTTGATATCATTGACAGCTGCTTCTTCAATTAAAACAAATTGGTTCCTATTTCAACGAACAGATGGTTAAGTCTACTTTCTGAAAGGGTCTGCATTATCATTAGATATATAAAAAAGCAAGAGAATGGCAACAATCAAGTTATTCTCTTGTTAGTAATTATCCTACAGTAACCGTTGAATAAGCTCGCTTGCTCTCTCTGATAAAGCAAAGGATAGTCAAAGAGTAACAATAGTATGAGACTATTTAAAATACCAAATAGCAACTTCCAAGAAAAGAAATACCTCTTTCTTTCCAGGCTTTTTGATATCATTGACAGCTGCTTCTTCAATAAAAATGGAACTCGAAAATTTACTTACCTCGTCATTGGTCATTTGCAAAATTATTTTGTTAAAAGAGATTCTGATTGCACACATAAGTACTCTGAAGCTGACATGAAGAAGATGCTTAAGTTTCTGATTGACAACATCTATGTGGTTTTAAGAGACCAGGTATTCCAACAGTCTATTGGAATTCCCATGGGTACAAATTGCGCTCCGTTATTAGCAGACTTATTTTTATATTCATATGAAGCAGAATATATGCTAAATCTTATGTGTGAAAAGAAGAAACCACTTGCTATGGCCTTCAACTCGACATTTAGATATACTGACGACGTATTGTCAATTAATAATGGTGATTTCCATTCCTACGTCGAAACGATATATCCTGGTGAGCTTGAGATAAAAGATACTACAGAGTCCGACACTTCTGTTTCATACTTGGATATTTTACTTGAAAAAGACACTAATGGTAATCTAACAACCAAGCTATATGATAAACTTGATGACTTTAACTTTTCTATCATCAGCTTCCCTTACTTATGCAGCAATATACCTTCATCACCTGCAAACGGAGTATATATATCTCAGTTGATTCGATACGCAAGAGCATGCTCTACGTATGAACAATTTCTAAAATGAGATAAATTATTAACAAGCAAGTTGACAAAACAAGAATATCAGCAGTCTCGTTTAAAGTAATCATTTCGTAGGTTCTATGGTCGATACAACGACCTTGTCAGCAAATACAGTTTATCATTGAGTCAAATGCTGACTGACGTTTTTCATATCAATTGTTAGTCCATTATTTATACACTGAATTGACGACGGGTTTTTTCCTGATCATGACAAGGAGCACACGGCGGGTGTGACCGGTCAGGGGATGCTCACTCCTCCATGGCACCTGATCCAACCTCTGATGTTTTGGGGGTCCGTGTTTGCTCTGCTCTTATTTTGTATTGTTTTATGGACTTTGAGATTGTATATTGTTCGTTATCTCAATATCCTTCCTTCATAAAATGTATTAATTAATTGTTTGATACCAACATAATTATATATACTTCCCATTGCATCATAAGTAAAACATTTGTTTATGCTTTCTCTTTGAAAAGAAGGTAGAAATAAAATATCATTTATTGTATATATTTGAATTTGTTGTATTTTTTTTTACCATTGATGACTGGTTGTTATATTTTCACCTTCTTCATGATAAAGGATGCTTAAATGAAATACATGGAGATGACGAAAAGTATTCAAGCTCAAAAGTTCATTAGACAATACACAATAGGAATAGAACAAACACGAACCTCCAAAACATCAGAAGTGGGAACGGTTCCAATGGAGGAGTGGTTCCCTGCCGACCGGTCACACCCGCCGTGTGCTCCTTGTCATGATCGGAAAAGCACATAAAAATCCGTCGTCAATTCAGTGTATAAATAATGACCAAACAATTAGTATGAAAGCCGGCAGTCAGAATTTGATTTATTGATAATTTTTAATAAATTGTGTTTGCCAATAAGGTCTCTGTATCGACCATGGAACTTACAAAATGATGACCTTAAACTAGACTACTTAAAGTCTTGTTTCAACAAACTTGTATGTGAAAAAATTACCTCGTTTTAGATATTTTTTATACATAGAGCATGCTCTTGCGTATCAAATCAACCGTAACTGAAATATATCCTCCGTAGGCAGGTGATGAAGGTATATTGTTGCATAAGTAAGGGAAGTGAACATTGAAAAGTCGGTCATCACGTTTATCATAAAGCTTGGTTGATAGATTAACATTAATGTCTTTTTCAAGATAGATATTGATATGAAACAGATTTTTCAGACTCTGTGGCATCTGTTAATAAGCTTACTGGCATATATATCGTATCGACATAAGAATGGGAACAAATAAATGTATCGACTCCTCGTCGATATATCTAAATGTCGAGTTGAAGGCACAGCAAGTGTTTTTTTTTTTCACGTATAAGGGTTTGGACGAATTTCTGCTTCATAAGAATATAAAAATAAGTCTGCTGATAACGGGGCGTAATTGCTATTCATGGTCATTCCA